GAGGCGGCGGCGGCGCGCGCTTTTCGGCCGTTGGGCGGCGGCCGTTAAGGGCCTAGCGAGTGCCGGAACCGCCCCCGCCCCGCCGGTACCGCCGCCATGAGCGGGGCCGGGGCGGGCCGGCCTTCTCCCGCCAAACTCCGCCGCCTGGAAGGTGCCAGCGAGACGGATCCCACCGTCGTCTCTACCCGCCGAGAAACGTCACCTCCCGCCGGAGGTCGCGGTGAGGGCGGCGGCGCGCGTGCGCCAGCAGCGGCCAGCGGGCATGCGCACTGCGCCGGCGCCACGGCGCCCCCTGGCGGAGGCTTGGAAACTACCGCTTCCCTCGGGGGGGGCCTGAAGACCACCGGGGGGCCCAAAGGGCGCCTGGAAACCGACGTCACCCCCTGCTTGGAGCAGGGAAAGGGGGGTCTGGAGACCGCCGGGGAGGTCACGGGGAGCCTGGAGACCACCAGCGAGTTCGCAGGGAGCCTGGAGACCAGCAATGGGCGCAAGGGGAGCCTGGAGACTGCCGTCACCCGCTGCTTGGAGCAGGGCAAGGGGAGCCTGGAGACCACCAGGGAGGTCACAGGGAGCCTGGAGACCACCGGGGAGGTCACAGGGAACCTGAAGACTACCAGCGTGGTCACGGGGAGCCTGAAGACCAGCAATGGGCGCAAGGGGAGCCTGGAGACTGCTGTCACCCGCTGCTTGGGGCAGGGCAAGGGGAGCCTGGAGACCACCAGCGAGGTCACGGGGAGCCTGGAGACCACCAGCGAGGTCATGGGGAGCCTGGAGACCAACGGGCACAAGGGGAGCCTGGAAACCACTGTCATCCGCCGCTTGGAGCAGGGCAAGGGGGATCTGGAGACCACCAATGAGGTCACAGGGAGCCTGAAGACCACCAGTGAGGTCATGGGGAGCCTGAAGACCACCAACAGGCGCAAGGGGAGCCTGGAGACTGCCGTCACCCGCTGCTTGGAGCAGGGGAGAAAGAGCAAGGGGGGCCTGGAGACTGCCACCGAGCTCAAGGAGTGTCTGGAGACCACCACCATCGCCTGCTCACAGCAAAGCCGAGGTGAGAAAAGGGTCCCGGAGCCCAAAGGGGGTCCAGCCCCCGGTGTACGGCAGAAAGGCCACAGCCCGGAGGAGTGTGCAGTGATTTCTCTGGGTGAGGATGAGGAGGAAGAGGAGGAGGAGGAAGGCCCCAGGCGGTACCTGGCAGCCCTGGAGGCCGTGCAGCTGGAGCTGGAGGCTGTGGAGGAGCAGGCGGCTCGCGCCTTCCGCCGCCTCCGCGCTAAATTTTGGCTCCGCCGGCGGCCGCATCTGCAGCGCCGCAACCGGCTCATCCAGCACATCCCCGGCTTCTGGGTCACTGCCGTATCCTTTTTTTTTTGGGGGGGGGGGGG